ATACAAATGCATTTTTGGCATTCGCCCTTCTAAACCCATCATGTGGATGAATACAACTTACTCGGATGCACAGAGCGATCTAGGCTTCACTGTGACTCTTCCCCTGCCCACCTATCCACATCCTTTAATGTGGCTGGCAACCCCAATGACCAACAAGAAGGCTCAGGAGGTGGGATGGTAATGCCCAACTTTCATAGACAAAGTCAGGACTCACTTCTGGCCCTGTCTCTGCATCTACCTATTGTTTTGTCATGCAGCTTTAATTATTTTAAATAATCTCCCACAGTTCTGCCTCCCAGGTGGCTCTTCCACCTCTGCGCATGCAGGGAGAATGTTTTGCCTAGGCAAGAAATGCGGAAGTAGATTTGCAGCACAAATAAAAGTACTATAAAACAATTAAAATAATTGGTAACAGTGGGAGGGGGGAGAGGCATGGCAGCACCTGAGAGTAAGGGTGAAGGTCCGATTTAAAGTGGAGGGCGAGTCCAAACCCAACTAAGCTTAGATCTACCTTCACCCCCATTCTAAGACTACTCAATCCACCTTGAAAAGGAAAGATCTGTATCCTTACCCTTTCTGAAGTCACTGTCACATGATCGGGTCCCAAAACAGACTTCAGTGTAGAGGAGGAACAACAGGAGACAACGGCTGCAGAGCCTAAATGATGACATCACCTGCAGGCTTACTATAGGTCATCTGTTGTCAGTTGTCCATCCTTTACATAGATTGAAGCTTAGTCAGGTTGACTTGCCTTCCACTTTAAAAGTGGTTGTAAAGGCAGAAGGTTGTTTGCCTTCATGCCTTCTGTGCATGAAGGTAAAAAACCTTCTGTGTGCTGCTCCCCCCACAACACCCCCCCCCCCCTTTTAATACTCATCTGAACCTTATCCTGATCCAGCGACGTGCATGTGAGCCTTGGCTGTCCCAGGACTCCCTTATTGGCTGAGAAACGCATCAGCAACGTGGCTTGAGTGCAGTGTGTGCAGTTATCCTTTCTTGCTCAATAAACCTGACTGGAGATCCAGGATGTCATTGGTGTGCGTCCCATTTTTTCAACTGGCAAGCAACGAGTGAAAGAGGTCCCCTGGGTCTTACTGCACTTTATTGGTCCGCAAAATGGAGAAAAAAAAAAGGGCAGCTGTGGGGCAGAGGGACAAGTCTATACTGTGAGGGTAAACACTGTTTAACATTTGTTTAACAGTATTCCAGTATCTGACTAACTTGGGACACCTCCAAAAGAGGTGCACCAGATCTATCAGGTTACTACCAAATTTTACACAGCAGGAATCCATTCTAAGGCAAGCCATAGATGATTAAATTTTCTTTCCTGCAACCACGGGTTAAAAGAAAGAAAATAGCTCAGTTCCCCCATCAATACAGTAAGTGTTAATGAGGGAATTACCCCATGGAGCTGTTGTGTTCTGCTGGCTGGGAGCTTCCCTGCTGCCAGACCACAATGATCACTGCTGGCAGCTATAGCTGCTGCCAGTAATCACATGGAAAAAAGTGATGAAGGATCAACTTCAGTACAACCAGCCTGCCCATAGATGGATCGAATCTCAGCCGGTCCCTGCTAAATAAACTGAGATTTGATCCATCCATGGCTAGCTTACAACAAAATCTATGCCTCCTCCCTTGGTCACTTCATAAACTCCCATGGCTTTAAGTGCCATCTCTATGCTGATGACACACAAATCTATCTTTCTACCCCTCACCTCACCCCTTCAGTCTCCTCTCGCATTACTAAACTACTAAGTGACATATCGGCATGGATGCCACTCCACTTCCTCAAACTCAATCTTTCCAAAACTGAGCTCTTAGTATTCCCCCCAGCCCGTGCCCCCTCCCCTGACTTCTCCATCAAGATCAATAACACAATCATCAGTCCCTCCCCTCATGCCAGGGTACTAGGTGTAATCCTAGACTCCCATCTGTCCTTTCAGCCCCAAATCCAATCACTGTCCAAATCTTGTACCTCCGTAACATCTCCAACATACGCCGTCCTTAACCTCGGAAACCACTAAGCAACTTATTCACTCCCTTGTTATATCTCGCCTTGACTATTGTAACTCCCTCCTCCTTGGCCGACCTCATCGCAGGCTATCCCCTCTTCAGTCTATCATGAATGCTGCTGCCAGACTCATCCACCTTACTAACTGTTCTGTATCTGCCCCCCCTCTCTGCCAATCCCTCCACTGGCTTCCCATTGCCCAACGGATAAAATTCAAAACATTAACAACATATAAAGCCATTTATAACTTTGCCCCAAATTACATCAACGATCTTGTCTCCAAATATCACCCAAAATCGTCCTCTCCGCTCCTCACACAACCTCCTGCTCTCTAGCTCCCTTGTCTGCTCCTCCCATGCTTGTCTCCAGGACTTCTCCAGAGCTTCCCCTATCCTCTGGAACTCTCTACCCCAATTTATCAGACTATCGCCTACTCTGTTCACTTTTAGGTGATCTCTGAAAACCTCTTTCTTCAGGGAAGCCTATCCTGCCCTCAGCTAATAATGGAATCTTCTATTCCTCCTACCAGTCCATCCCCACACAGTTATTACCTTTTGTACCACTAGCCCCTCCCTCTTAGATTGTAAGCTCCAAGGAGCAGGGCCTTTCTAACCCACTTGGATTGAACTGTATTGTTGCTGTACTGTCTCCCATTATATTGTAAAGCGCTGAGCAAACTGTTGGCGCTATATAAATCCTGAATAATAATAATAATGATGATGATAACATTATACAACGATTTTTGAGTGTGGTAGTCCTGTGTCAATGCAAATAGCTGTGTATACTTGTTAGACTTGGATAACAATGCCCTGGGATAGAACCTTTTCCTATTTATGTTCACTCAGCTGGGGGAATTTAGTGGGATGGAGGGATAGCTAGTGTGTATACACCTTCTGTACGAATTTAAGCCACAACTTATGGCTGCCGCAGTAGCAAAACCTGCTTATCTCAGTTTAATGACCTTCTTAGATTTAGAGGTTGGATTAAGAGTCATGAGCTATAAATGCCAGGGTCAGCAGGGCATCCTGCATGGGTTATGACCTTAGTGTGTAGGCTTTAAAATCACATCTCGCACCATTAGTTGTGTGGATTTGTTATTGTAATCTGTTGTTACGTATTTTTTTTTGTACCATCACAAGGGAACATTCACACCAAAATGAATGCTGTATCCTGCACCTACACTAGATGTTCGCAGGTTCATACATTTATTGTTTTGCTGGAAATTAACACAGCAAAACAATAAAATGTTTATTAAAAAAAAAAACATAGGAAAAGGTCATCTTTCACTACGAGTGACAGGTTTGCTTAAAATTTGAAATAATTTCACTCTGTCCATCCTTTTTAGTACCATTACATTGTGTAATAATTTTTAGTAAGATGCATTTAAAGGCATCTAAACCAAAAGCAAGCAGGGATATGTAATTCCCATAACCCGATACAGTTATGGGCGCCAGGCAAGAGGTTTTTCCTTATATTTAGCCCTGCTGTGGGCAAGCAGCAGTAATTAGAGCCGACCGTTGGCTCTCTTGTAAAAGTGATCCAAACAGCTAACTAGCCACTGGATTGCTTTTAAAAGCAGTAGGAGGTGACATCACCCCTTCTTCGGGCTGTTCTGTCTCACTAGGACACCCGATTGACCATCTGGTGTTTCTGCTCTGATATAAAATAGCCTCTCTCAACCAGGGTGCCCAGGCATCCTGGCGTGCCTTGGCAAAATATCTAAAAATTGCCCAAAACTTGTATACAAGCCAGCAGGTGGAACAAGCTTGCCTTTTAGTTACACAAAGCCCCAGGTTTTCATTGTGCACCATTACGGCCTTCTAGCTGCCAGCGTCCTGAAAACCAATGACATCAGTTGATAAGGAGGATGTCAGTTGCCTGTCCTAGTTTGACCCTCCCCTGCCCCTCTCTATCAGTGCTGGGGGTCACATTAGCTCAGTGATGGATAGAAACTGAGGGAGAAGAGAAACATTGGAATACTAGTCAGTACCAGCTTGCAAAAGTGTATCTGCGTTGGAAGAATAAATCACCTCTAATGTTGGGTGTCCTACCTGTGTGGATGTTACTGCGCTATATAAAACTATTAGAATAGTTTTTCACATTTTAGGACGGGGTGCCTCAAGACTATCCATAATTCTAAAGGGTGCCTTGACTGAAAAAAAGGTTGAAAAACACGGATATAAAAAACAGAAAAACGATGAGCATACATCACTTCCGGTTTCCCCGGATGTAAATGGCACCATTTTTAAAATTGGAAAGCATTTGATCACACCGATCTTATGTGATCAAATACTTTTAAGGGCAGAGGAGGGATCTGAGGTCTTATTGACCTCAGATCTCTTGATAAAGAGCACCTGTCACTGCCTATTACTGTTACAAGGGATGCTTACATTTCTTGTGACAGCAATAAAAATGATCAAAAAAAAGTTAAAGTGACAGGATTAAAATATATTAAAATAATTTTTTTAAAGAACCCTTGTCCTAATGCAAAGGCGATCGCATGCGTTGGTCCACATGTGATTTATCACCGAGAATGTCAGCTCATGGGCAGTAATTCTAGCACCAGAATATGTAGTGGATCCTCCTGCGCTGCTATGTCTACTGAGACTTGTGAAACAGCATCTTACATCCAATCCTCACCTTTGGATGGAATAATAAAAACGGATATAATAGTGATGTAGCACTGTAGTTGCTATTATGACCCTTTTATAATATCAAGTAGTCAACTATACTTATAATTGTGATATTTATAAGGGATGAGTGCAATATAAATTAAACCATATACATATCCAGGTGATCATTCCATCATTGCCGTGACACACAGCGATTCCCTATACAGGGATATGCATCACCTTAAACAGGTGATCTATATAAATAATGGTGATGTAACTGTCCACAATATCCGATGTCTAACTTGTGTCTCAACAACACACACAAACAATGACAGACAACATGCTGATTGGCCCTGTGCTGATCACATGCACCCCACGCTCTGAAGAAAAAAAAAAACAAAACTCTCTAGCAATACACAACAAACTGAGCATATGCAGCTTGCCCCCAAGGCACTGTTCAATCAGCAGATGGATTGGGGACAGTAGGAGGGGAGGATCAGAGAAAACAGGACGAACAGCCTTTTTACACAATGCAGAGGATTAACCCCTTAGGTTCCACGGTGAGTATAACAAGCATGCTTTACTGCATATACAGACTGATTTTACTGTTGTGGGTTTAGTAACACTTGTATCTCCTTTGGATTTACCCTCAGCTATGTAGTCCAAGGGCCCGCCTGATTGGATACAAACGGAAAGTGTTGCTTAGGTTTGACCTATTATATGGTTTTTGGTAAATCTAAAAGGAAAATTGTACAAGAAAATACATATAATGTATGGCCAGCTGCAAAGTATTAGTTCACCTTTACAGAAAACGGACAACCCAATAGTGGACCACATTCCCACCCCTTGATCCCAGCTGATGGTTATATGAACGGCGATGAACAATTAGATTCCATCTCTTCCATCCTGGCTGCACAGGACAAAGAAGAGAGAGCAGGAGGGATTTCACTGTTGGGTCACCTTAAAGTGTTACTAAACCCCGGACCCTGCATTCACTATATCTGGTCTCCCACAGTACACACAACATGGAAATGCAATTATTTTAGTAAATATAAACTGCTAAATACCTTTTCTCATCAGCAGTTAGAGCAGTCTTATGACTTCTGCAGAGCACTGGTTAAAGCTTGTAGGATGAGTTTTCTTTCTGCTCTAGTAGGATGCAGAACCCCTGACCTCTGTCTGGACAGTGCCGATTTTCCCTATGCTGATCACATGCACCCTCCCAAGCAAAAAATATAAAACCTCTCTAGCAATACACACCAAACGGAGCATGTGCATGTGATCACAGGTTCAGTCTGTATCAGGTGGTCATTTCAACAAGAGGAGGGGCAGAGAAGGAAGAATCAAACAGGCTTTATAAACAATGGAGGAATAACCCCTTAGGTTCCACAGTGAATATAACAAGCATGCTTTACTGCATATACAGACTGATTTTACTGTTGTGGGCTTAGTAGCACTTTAAGGCCTCGTTCACACCATGGCACAAACATCAGTTTTTCAGCATGCGTTCTGCAAGGGCTCAACAAGATCAACTGTTCTCTATGTGCCCTGTTCACACCACTACACTGGTATAATGTGCAGATTTTTTCTGCAAAGGAATCTGCAACATGTATAAAACTCATTGAAGAATGCATGAAAACGGATGTAAACTGACATCTCTGCCAGCGAAATCTGTGTCAGTTCCCATCAGTTTTCATGCACGTATAGGGTGAATGAGCCCTTACAGTTTTTCTGTAAAAGGTGAACTAAAGCTGGCCATAAATGATGTGATTTTCTTTCCTTCCACCATGATGAAAGGAAAAAAAATTGCTCGATTTCCCCCATCAACACAGCCAGCGTTGATGGAGGAATCCCTCCAACAGGGCTATTGTGTTCTGCCGGCAGGACGTTTTCCTGGATGGCAGAACACAATTATTACTGCTAGTGGCTATAGCTGCTGGCAGTAATCGCATGTATAAAAAAAAAAAAATTAATGAAAAAAAAAAAAAATTAAAAAAAAAATAGTAAAAAAAAAAAAAAAAAAAAAAATCAGGCTGATTGTATCAAATTTGATCAATGGATCAACTTAGGCACAACCAGCCTGCCTATAGATGGATCGAATCTCAGCCAGTCCCTGCTGAACTGGCCAAGATTCGATCCATTTAAGGCCAGCTTAACATTCCAACAAGCATTTAACCTTTGTATTGGCACATTGCAACAGTAGCATTTTTTTTGTGCCTGGAGTTGGGTTTTAATTCTTTTTTGGAACTATACGTAAACTCTCTGTTTTACAAATGTGTATAATATGCAGGTATACACAGTAACTGATTATATGAGCTAAATAGAGAGAGAAGTCATCCCCAGGGTATGAGTGAAGATGTATCTGCATATCTGTTGCTGACATATGTTAGCAGCACTTGGGAAATACCTTGTTAAAGCCGTATTTTATGAAATGACATCATCTGCACATTTGTTTAAGTTGTTATCAGACATTTTCCAGCACATGTACTGTATCTTTCAGTAATAATGACCAACGTGCAGACATCCCACAGGCGACACCAAAAGAGTTAACAAGAGAAGATGCTGGCATCAAGATTTGATTTACATATTTGACATCACTTGGCACCGATACTATAAGCCCATTTTTATAAATATTCATCCCATCCTTTTTCATAATGAAGGCTTCTTATACAGAGGCACATATATGAAAACACTTATAAAAGGGAACGGACGTGTCACAGCTCCCCCCATCCGCCCGCGCAGCGACAGAGAGATGGGTGCTATAAAGGAGAGCAGGGCAACATCTGCTGCCTCCATACATGCGGCTCCATTAGAGCTTCTGAAGCTTCTAATTAAAATGTTAATTGTTGTGCAGACATTTAAGGGAAATAAGAACAGGCACTGCAAGGTACAAAGAGATGTTAGGAGCAATTAATGATGGAGATGCAGGATATCGGAGAGTTTAACAAGTGTGAAGTGATTCAGAAAGGAGTGGGGATTTAAATGTAACCAATCCAAGAGAGAATTCTGAAAGCTGCTACTGTCGATCCCCTGGAAAACGCAAGCTGCCTGACCAATAGACTAGAACTGAAGGCAAAACTTTTCCATTTTGGATACAATAAGGCCTGGTTCACATCTATGTGGGTGCGGGAATCGCAGCGATTTCCACCACCACCCACAGTGAAAACACGCTGCTGTGCAAAAAACATGGATCTGCCATTCATTCTGAATGGCACCCAGGGCCGGTGCTAGATTACTTTGCGCCCTAGGCAAGACCAGCTACTTGCGCCCTCCTTTTTAAAAATGTACATTTTTAAAAAAACATTAGAAAAAATATTAAATCAACAAAACATGAAATTGATAAATTTCTTTTAAGTTGCAAAAATAAGTGCCATAAGATGCCACCAGCACCAATATTAAAGACAAAATCAGTGTCACGGACAAACTGTATCTGTGGCTGGTAGTGGCAGGGTGACAGTTGCAGTGAGTGGAGGATGATGGATCCACACTCTGACAGATCCCAGGCTGGAATTCCCCAGGCAATGGGGGAGATAAAATGCTGTGACAGCAGGCAGCCCAGACACACACACAGAACTGAGCGATCCCACACAACACACACCACCACACGCACAGATCAGCAGGCACTAGAAGAGCAAGCTGTGGGATCATGATGATGTGATCTCTCACTGACACATTGCACATGTGATTGATGGCCAGCCGGGTCACACTCACACAGACACGACACATCAGACATTACCTTCCTCTGCAAGTGCAGCTCAGCCTTTGCTGATGAATTGGAAGAGAAGGGGTGAAACGCCACAGTGACCAGTAGCCACCTTGCAGTAAGGGACTGAGTCTGAGAGGAACACTGGAAGGAGAGAGGGGAAGGGGGGGGAGAGGGGGAGAGGGGGAGGGGGGGAGAGGGGGAAGAAGAGGAGAGAGGGAGAGGAGGGTGAAGAGGAGAGGGGGAGAGAGAGAGACACTGAGGTGTGTCCAGGAGCCCCTAGGTGGCAGTGCGACCTAGGCGTCTGTCTAGTGGAAGCACCAGCCCTGATGGCAGCCCCACGCATGTAAAAACACAGGGCATTTGTGGGTGCATGGTCCTTTTGACCATGCGATTTCCCTGCGGCTGAGTACTGAAAACATGCATACACCTTCTTCTTTAGGAAACAACACAGGCTCGGCAGTCCATTCAAATGAACGGGTTGCTGTGCCCGAGCATTATTTATAATAACTAGTGCCTGTCATTCAGCTTTGAGCTCTAAAAATTTCCATTCATGTCAACCAATAGATAAGCATTTCTGTTTACAGGATGTTTACACAATTATCTGCTGTTAAAGCAGAACTACACTGCATCAGAGCACCACAGAACAAAAAAAATTAATTAATTTTTAATATGAAAAACACCTCCTAGCATTTCTGGGCATGGCCATCTTGAGTAAGGGCTCAGCATTCCCTCCCTGGAATCCATCTGCTCTTAGCTCAGGCATGCAATAAGGAGGGTGTGCTTAGCTGAGAAAGCTCCTCCTCCCCACCAGAAGACTCTTGGGATGTGTGACATCATTTGCCTGGGCAAGAAACCAGGAAGTAACTGGAGACGTAAAAAAAAAAAAATGTTTAAAACAATTATGATATACATTCCTTTTTATTTACGAATGCTAGCAGCATAAAGATGGTTCACTAGCTGCAAATGAAATAACACAATGGAAGAATATATCAACCAAAGAAAGATTCAGGCACCTACCAGGTATAATTGGCTATTGCTCATTTATCATGGGAATTACAATGGTCTTGAAATGGTTTGTGATCCCTTGCCTTCGGCCACAGTGTAAAAGCCTGAGTGATGCTGCAGGCAATGGTATTTGTAGTAAGAAAGTGCACGGCTCACGGTGGCGCCTTTGTGACTGAAGCCTAATCCTGGAAAACCAACTGCAATATTTTGCCTACACTTGCACCAAATGTATCTATGTGCTTGAACTTCTATTTTCCACTTCAATATAAGGAATATTTCTCATTGGTAAAGCTCTTCTTCTTAACATCAAGAAATCAAGAAGGAATTTATGAATTGAACTGAGATCTACTGTTTATACTGTAAACGTTCTCTTTTTTTGAATTGATTTTCCATGCTTAATGGCTAATAAAGCTCTCTGCAAATGCATGCAGAAAGATGACAAGTAGACACAACGCAGACAATACTGTCTAAGCTGTCCATTACTCAGTGCATGTTACACAAAACAACTAATTAAAATACTTCTCCCTTATCAGATGATCTGCTAGATTCTGCATCTTTCTTTAAGTGGCTAGGATGACCTGAAAGAAAGGTGAATAAAGGAAACGTCACTAACAGGAGCCAAACATGAAACAGCAACTAACCCGATGTTCAGAACCTCAATAATAATTTGTTGCAGAACGGCTTGTGAAAAAGGTTTAAAATGACCAAACATACACAGGAACTACCATGAAAAGAAGGCAGGTTCGTACACACACCCGTCCAGAGGCCCATTTGCAAACACTTTGCTCTGCAGTACATCTTCCAACACGGATCAGATTTACAGTTCCAGATGTGTAGAATAGCATGTATGTCCCTGGTGGCTGTGGTACCTCCTGTCAAACCATACATCACTTAGGTGTCTTACAGCAG